TACCTGCCTGTGCCTTGCCCAGTTACGAAAAATCCAGATATTAGTCCTTTTTTTCCCTTTTCCCTCTAAATTTGCTTTTCTTCCTCTGTTTTTTCCCACTCCTCTCCCGCTCTGCTCCTCTGCCTTCTTTGTCTACAGCCCCCTTCCCGTTCTTCTCCTTCGCTCTCTCTTGATATCCGGCTCCGACGAAGTATTTGGATACGCCCCCTTTTAATTTTTGTGCGTGAAAAAAGGCACGAGGCAATTGGTCAGTGCTATGATAGTTTGGACATAATTCGAGTTCGGATTCTAAATTATTCCTCTTTTTCCCCTTTTCACCCCTTGCTCTCTTCATCCCTTCACACTCGCCCTCTCCTCTCGCCTCGCCCCACCGCCTCCACCGCCCCCGCCTTCCCCTCCCTCACCACCTTCTTCCTGGTCACCACACCTGAGGCTGTTGTCTGAGGAGAAACTGATGTGTGGTCCCTTTTAGACATAACTTACGAGTTGCATCCCTCGTTCTGGCTCTGCGAAAAGTTCCTTTTTTAACTCCCCCCCCCTTCATTTTCTTCCCTTTTACCGTCTGCCCGTCTCTTTCTTGCTTTCTTCTCTTCTCCCTTTTCCTCTCTCTCAGTTCTTCCCTTTCCCTTCCTTTCTTCTCTTCCTCTCATCTATGCTTCCGCCTTCTCTTCCTCCCCTACCTCATGCCTTTAACACCGACCCCCCCCACTTCCCTCCTACCCGCGCGGTCGCGTCCTTCCCTTCCAGCCCTCTCTCACTAGGCTTCTCCCCTCCACATCGCTAACGCCACACAAAGACCCCACTTCAATAAACCCACCGCCGTCCTCCACACCTCATTCAACACAGGCCACCAGGTGATGAAAGAAACACGTTAATCAACAGGTTATCACAGGTGTAACAGGGTGATAACGGGCCTAAACAGGTGGTTATTTCACCCGTTAATGGCTCGTTCGATAATAAGGGAGTTACGGACGCGTAGTCCACAAATGTTAAGAGAGAAATTAGAGATAGAAAGATAGAGTGAGAGTGAGAGAGAGTGAGAGTGAGAGTGAGAGTGAGAGTGAAGTGAGAGAGAAAGAGAGAGAGAAAGAGAGAGAGAGAGAGAGAGAGAGAGAGAGAGAGAGAGAGAGAGAGAGAGAGAGAGAGAGAGAGAGAGAGAGAGAGTAGAGACTGAATGAGAAGAGAAATTATGTAGAATAGACAGATAGACACAGAAATAGCATGACTATGTAGATCGACTATTATGAGATAGACAATAATAGCAGTAGATATACAATCATTAGATTAGACAAATTAGTTATATAAAATTATAGATACACGATAGCTAGATAGACATCATATCAAGGAACATAGAAATATACATAGATAGACAACTGGGTCAGAAGAACTGTCTGGTCTGTCTGTCCTCTAATCCACGGTGGAGATAACTTAGATAGACAGACATATAGAAACATAATGAAATACATAATAGATAGATAAGTGGATAGCAGATGACTGTCTTCTGTCTGTCTCTTGTCTATCACACGGTGGAGATAACTATTCACACGGATGACACTGACACAAGTGGTTGTGATTTATCAGGACGAGGGGGAGAGGAGAAAGGGGGAGAGGAGAATAAGGGGAAGAGGGGAAGAAGGATGAAGGAAATAGAAGTAAGAGATGTGAGGGGAGGAGAGGAGAAAGGAAGAGGAAGAGAAAGAGGGGAAAGAGAAGAGAGAAGAAATAAGTCAAGAAGCCTAAAAGGGATGAGGGACAGAACAGATAAATAACAAAGGAGATGGAAAACTTGCAGGAGAATCAGAAATATGAGAATTGGTTTAACATCAGGACAGAGAATAAAAAAAGACAAGTGGAAAGAAACATACGAAGAGAAGGGAAAAGAGACGATAAGAGAAAGAAGAGATAGGGGAAAAGATGAAGAGAGGGAAGATGAAGGAAACAGAGAAAACGGAGAAGAAAGAGGAAAATGAAGAAGAAGAGAAAGAGGAAGAAAAAGACGAGGCATAACATGTTCATCATGATCAACAAGCTCTATATTAATTCAATCCATCAATTAAAATCCACCTAAATTATCTATGTATCATTCTCCAATATTCTCCATTTGTGATTTTCACTGAACTCTCTATGTTAATAATAATAGATGATAACAGGTACAAATAATTGATTTCTTTCAACGAGTGCAAATGTGACCATATACGTCCACATCTCCATGTATGTATGGATATGTGTGTACCTGTGTATGCATGGCTGCTTTTAACCTCTCCTTCCTTTTCCTCTTCCTTCTTCCTCACTTTCTTTCGCTCCATCTCTCCACCCCTCCTCCTCCCCTCCCCCTCTCCATATCATCTTCCTTTTAGCTCCAACTCTTTCGCTCCATCTCCCCCCCCTCCCCCCCCTCTTTTCCCCACTTCCTTTTTACTCCAAATTCTTCGCTCCATCTTCCCCCTCCCCTCTCTCTCCCCTCCCTCTCTCCCCCTCCCCCTCCCTCCCCTCCGAATCAGCCTTGCATGAGCCGCCTTTCCTCTCTCGCTCGTTAGCATGCCATCTATCGGCAGTTAATGGCACTACTGGAGCTTTAGGGCCAATTCGACCTCGCTCTCCATGGCCGGGTTGCCGACTCGTTAAAGAAAAAAAAGTAGAGAAATTATGCAAAGCACCTCTGTAGACTCTTTAACTTTCTCTGTCTCTTGTCTGTCTGTATGTCTCTTCTATCTCCCCCCCCCCCCTCTCTCTCTCTCTTCCTTCCTTCCTTCCTTCCCCCCCTCATTCCTTCCTCCCTCTCTCCTTTTCCTTCTCCCCTCCCTCTCCTCCTCCCTCTCTCTCTCTCTCTCTCTCTCTCTCTCTCTCTCTCTCTCTCTCTTTCTCTCTCTCTCTCTCTCTCTCTCTCTCTCTTCTCTTTCCTTCCTTCCTCTTCCTCTCTCCTCTCTTTCTTCCCTCGCTCCTCTATCATGCCTCGCTCCCCCTTCCCTTCCACTCTTTCAATGACACAAAATCTTTTCGCCCACAGATCGCCATAACCCGCGCCAGACAGACAGACAGACAAACAGGCAGATAAGACTATCTAAAAAATGCACAGATAAACAAACAGGTAGATAATGAAATAAACACACAAGAAAACAATCAGACACAGGCACACAAAAATTCGACAGACATAAATTCGTAAAGTGACAACAGAAAAACAAACAAAAACAAACGCACACACAAACGACATCCACACCCGCAAAGAGACGCATACCAACACACACAAAGACACACAAACCAACCGACAGCCACACAGACAGACACAGACAAATAACCGTCTCAAAGACGTCACATAAAACACTCACATAACTCTGCGTGAGACAGCTTGAGGCTCAAAAAGGCTGAAGTCAAAAGATTCCATAATGATGTCACCAGAAACTATTTAATCATAGCGAGATGAACTCTCTTTTTCTCCTCCCCTCCTCCCTCCCTTTCTTCCTCCCTCCCCTCCCTCTCTTCCTCCCCCGTCCCCTCTTCCTCGAACGCCTCCCTCCATATTCCCCTCTTCTTCCCTGCTTCTTCTTCTACCTCTTCCCTATCTCCTCCTCTCTTCTTACCTCTTCCCCATCCCCTCTCCTCCCCCAACCTCTTACCATCCTTCCCCCTACTCTTCCCTTCCCCATCCTCCCTTTCCCTCCCACACCCCAATCACTCCCCCTCTTTCCCCATCCTTCCTATCCCCTTCCTTCCTTACTCGTCCTCCTCCCCTCCTCTCCCACCATCCCTACCCCCTCCTTTCCCCCTCCCCTTCCCCCTCCTCCCCCAGCCCCCAACTCCGCACCGCAATCCTTTCATATGGAACAAAATCGCGAGGCAGAGGCATTAGAGCCCAGATGGAGTCTCCACGTCTGTCAGTATTACTAAAAGGATAATATGTGTCTGTCCGCCATCCACCGATCCATCTCTCACTCTCTTTTTTTTTCATTCTGTAGTCTATATCTACATCTATATCTATATCTAAATTCATATCTACATATCTATCTATCTCTCTCTATATATGAATAAATAAACAAACAATAATATATAATAAACAAATAAATAAATACACAAAATAAATAAATAAATAAATGTGTGTATAATAGTATAAATAAAGAAAAAAAATATCTTTATCTATATCTCGCTCTGTCTATACACATATACGTACTGTACGTGGTACTCATGTAATTGCTCATCGTATTTCAGCATTTGGCACATGTGGTACGACGTAATAATCTTTATAGACAGGTGCAGGGACGGTGTGCGCTGTGCATTGTGAGCTGAGCGAGAGAGAGAGAGGGAGGGGAGAGAGAGAGAAGAGAAGAGAGAGGTGGGTTTGTGTTGTGGTGGGTGGGGTTCTGGGTGGTGGTGGTTGTTTTTTGGTGTTGTGGTTTGTGTTGTGTGTTTTTTGTGAGGTGGTGTGTGGGTTTGATTGTTGGGTGTTGTTGTTGTGTTGTTGGTGTTGTTGTGGGATGGTGGTGGTTTGTGGTTTGTGATTGGTGGGGTGGTGGGGTGTGTTTTAGTGGTGTTGGTTGTGTTGTGTGTGTGATTTGTGTTTAGTTTGTGTTGGGTATTTTTGGTGGGTTTGTGGTGTTGGTTTGGGTTTTTGGGGAGGTAGGAGAGAGGAGAGGACGATGGAGGAGAGAGGTTTTGTGTTTTTAGGTTTTTTATTTTTTTTGTGGCTCGTGTGTTGTGTGGTATTGGTTTGTGGTATGTTTGTTTTGTGGTGTTTTTTTTGGTTAGGGGTTGTTGTTTTTGTGGTTGGGTAGGTGTGTGTGGTTGGTTTTTCGGGTGTGTGGTGGTGGTTAGTGTGTTGTTTTGTTTTTGGTTTGTTGTGGTGTGGTTTGGNATATATATATATATATATATATATATATATATATGACTATCAAAAGGAAATCTATCCTTTATATAAATAAACAACTCAGCAAAGTTACCATTTTTGCTAACAAATTTATTCAGTCATAAGTACTTTAAGAACTCTCAACACTGCCCCTATTCAAAATATTACAAAAAGGTTTATATTATAAAGAGGTACAAAACCAAACTGTGTTCCATAATACTACCCAGTGTTAATTTCCAAACTTTTGTCCAAAAATTGATTATCTGAAAGGGCGTTTCACTTTTTTCACCCCTTGGTCTTTAATGATGTCATGGTACTCATAATATAAAAATTAATGGGCCATATATTTGACAAAAAGTTTAGGTTTTAATGGACACATCATAAATGACATTTTCACTATTACCACAGTATTGTATTCATTGCATGTCTCTCTTAACAAATAGGTTAAATGGCTGTTAAAAAAACTACACTTACCAAGAACCATGCTACAAAAGAGATGACAAGATTATAAACTATTAGAAACAAATATAATTATACCATATGCTTACCATCACTAATAACTGGTAGTGTTTCTTCCCCTTGATCTGAAGCCATGAAGAATAATTTTGGTTTCTTACTGAAGGTCATCAATCCAGAAAAATCGCAAGCTATTTTCTTCTTCTTGTAGTAAGTCCCATCTGCAAGCTCAAACTTATCTTCTCCTCCTCTGCCCATAAACCACACCTGTAGTGAATCATAAAAATGATACTTTGGGCTCTTCAAATTCTCTAGGACTGTGTTGATTGTTTCCTTTACTGGATCTCGATGAATTTCAACTATGAATCCTAGACTTTTAGCGAATACTCTCTGAATTTCCTCTATTTCACACTCTGCTCCATCTCTGTCCCCAATTACACAGAAAACAATACAGTATCCTGTAGGGGGACATTTTGCGGGATAACACCTTAAATCTTCAGTAAGGTCTGTGATTATATTTTTCTCTTCGTGTGACTCTGCTTCTTGTCCCAATTTTTCTAGAATATCAGTAACTGCTTCAGTGTAGGTGCCAGTCATCTCAAGACATCGGATGATGTAGAAGAATAAAGATTCCTTCATTCCATCAATTTCCATTGAGCTTTCTTCAAATACAGTTAAGTATTGATGAGATGGTATATAGAATAGACCTTTTTCCCAAATAATAGCTAGAAATTTATATACTTGTTCAGGAGTTAGTAAATCACCCATCTTCATTATCCAGAGATTTTCTGAATGCATGAAGAAGTTCCTTGTTGTCTCCAAAGGTGTTAGTTTTAGCTTCTTTCTAACTTTTGCTATCTTGTCCTCCAAAGCATTACTTTTGTGGATGCCTAGATAGTGGCAGGCATCATTAAATGAAAGAAGATCTTTGTCCTGCTGAATAACATGGTACTTAGCAGCTTCAGTGCCAGTTCGCAGTTCAAAGAAACCATAATTAACTAGCACTTTAAGACGCTTCTGCAGCTCATTTACAACTAAGTGAGAACTGCAGTTCCCATTCTGCAATATGGCATGAAAGGCTTGAGCTGCAGCCTTTGTCTTATTTCTGCTCTCTTGAGCAGTCAAATCTCCCCTATCCAAAAGGAAGAGGAGTTTCACCAGGAGGCTTAAGGGGTATTCACTCCAGTTGATGATGAGGGGCTCAGACACCGCTTCACGTGAGTCATTGGCACCAAATCCTGAAAATGCAAATAATATCAATGATCAACAGCTCTATAAATGAAGGGAAAATTTCTATAAATTCTAAATGGGTTGAAAATTGCAAAATTTCACACTCTCCTCTCTTTTAATCCCATGAAAGGGGTTTACTGATGTCACTATCCTGTAAACCTGGACCTGCAATGCTGACTGCAATATTTCACTGTCCATGCAAACATTTTGGAAATAGCAACATGTAATAACAATGGAAATAATAATAATGACAATCACTATCCTCATAATAACAATAATCAACAATAAGAAGAAGAAATGCAAAAATAATAATAATAATGTATTAGTAGAAGTAACAGGAATAGAAAATAGTAATAAGTAATTAGTTATGATAAAAATAGAATTGATAGACAAAAAAAAACATAAAAATGACATTGACAAAGATGGAGACAGTTGTAGGGACAGTGACTATCGGTGACAGTAACAGACAGCGACTGACAGTGACTGACGGTGGTGATGATGTTGACAGAGACAACAATAATAATAATCAATAATGAAAAAAATTATCATTATCATTATCATTATTATCACTACTACCACCATTATTAAATCATCATTATCATTATTATCATTTCATTTTTTTAATTTTCATCATTGTCCTCATTATTATTATCATCATTATCATTAATTATCAACATTATTGCTACTCTTACTATCATCATCATCATCATCATCATCATCATTATTACAAATAAAAATGATAATTACAATAACAATAATAAAAATAAGTATAAGCATCCTCATCATCATAACAATCAAAAATTTTCCTGATGAGTAAACATTTTAAGAAACAGCTAATGGAAATATTAATTATTAAATATTATTAATGATGATGATACAGGGTCTGGCTGAGAAGAACAATATCTGACCCGCGGCTAGAAAATGGAAACCTGAATTGCTAAATTGAGGGTAATTCTGTTCCCTTTTATGTGGAATCTGCTGTGTGTACAAAGCTTAGCAGTCTTTTTGTTTTTGTGCTTCTTCTTTCACTTTCTTTCTTTTCTTTATAATAATAACAAATATAGTATAAATAATAATAATGAAAATGATAATGATGATAACGCTGGTTGTAAAAACAAGTATAATAACCTTAATAATAATAATAGATATAATAATAATCATGATACCATTAATAATGATAATAATGATACTAGTAATAATGGCAAATCTAATACTAGTAATACTACTAATAACAGAAAGAAATATATATATATATATATATATATATA